TTAATATTTGGTCAAATTTACCAGGCATAGGCAGAGGCTGTGTGTATATGTGTGTAAAGGTTTTGTAAACAGTGAATTAAAATTGATATTGTAGAAGGTCATTCAGGCTATCCATTCCTTCCTTTTTTGAGGCAGAAGTGTTGGACCTTGTAACTCTGAACTCTACTCACAGCCCTGTCACTCTGTCCTTGGGTGTGAACTTTGATCATTGGGTCTTTCAAGAAATCCATTGAAGTTATTTATTTGCATTGTAGTTATTCATATACTTTTGTTTTTGAGACAGACTCTCACTCTAGCTCAGGCTGGCTCAGAACTTACTGTTCTCCATGAAGACCAAGCTTCAAACTTGTAGAGATCCTCCTGCCCAGCTCTTCCTCCTGTGTTGAGATCATAGGCATGTCTACTATGCCTGTCATTTTTCTCCTCCACAACAGGGATGTTACTCATATTATTCACTTACCTTTAAATGTCTATAATTCTGTATTGGTTATTCTTGAGGCTAATAATTGGGTTATCTTTTTTTTTTCATTTCAGGTAGAGGGTGTATCCATTTTACTGATTTTTAAATTCTCCCTTTTTTACTATTTTTATTTTGTTTTATATGTATGAGTATTTTGCTTGCATGTATGTAAGTGAACCCATGTTGTGCAATGCCCATGGGGGCCAGAAGAGGGTTTTGAATCCCCTGGAACTGGAGTTATAGATCATTGTTAGCCCTCATGTGGATGCTGGGAACTGAACCCAGGTCCTCTGCAAGAGCAGTCAGTGCTCTTAACCTCTGAGCCACCTCTCCAGCCCCTAATTTTATTACTTTTTTCTGGGTTAGATTATTTATTTTAGATGTTTCTTTTACAGGTTCAGTGAGAGACTCTATCTCAAGAAATAAGGTGAAAAAATGATAGAGGAAGACCCCTTATGTCAACTTTTGGCATCCAAATGCATATACACATGTGAGCATATACACGAACATATAAATATACTCACATACAAAATACAAAGTAGAAACAAACGTTTTAAATAACTGTAAAATCATTTTTCTTTAGTCAATATTTCACTGATGTGAACAAGTCTATAAAAGCTCAGTACAAATAATCATAAAGCTAAATGAGAAAATGCCTGTGAAATCACTTTATATGCTGTAAAGTGTTATAAAACATTACTTCAATTCTTTTTATTACCATCATCATCATTTAACTGTAATATTTATAGGTTCCAAGATTTTCAAAATATATTAGTTCATGAGAAAGACGCTGAAATTCTTCATACTTATTTCAAGAACACTTAAAAAAACAAACAAACTTGTGCTACATCCAACAGGATTCGACTTGACAGGGAATCTGGGGAATTGCCCTAACTATACTAAGCAGTAAAACTTTACTATTTCTTTTGAGTTGGTAGAATCAACAAATGTAACATCCAAAAGCCCTCATGAGCCTATCTGTAGTCAAGCCCTGGAAGTCCTCATAAATCAAGGTGGCTCTTGGCAGTAGATGTTAATGTGTAGAAACTCTGCAGGAAACTGAAAATAGCTGGAATCTGTTTACCTGTGCCAGAAGCAGCATTCTACTGCTAGCAAGAGAAAGAATCGACCCATTTGACAAAGGCTAACATGTAGTCAGAATCAAAAGTTCAAAGATTGTGAAGAAAATGTTTTAATGGGGGGAGACGCAGGATAAAATGAATGATATAAGCCGTACACCTGAAATTGCACAAGCAAGCAAGTTAAAGGACTGAGGACTGAAAATAAAATGTTATCTAGACTTCTCAACTTACAGTGAAGGAGCCAAGATTCATAAAGAACCACAGAAATCTTTAAATATATCTAATGACAGAGCTTTGAAAACAATGAAGCAAAAACTGATAGACTGTAAAGGAGGGAAAAATCCAAATGTATCATTATAGCTGAGATTTCAGTACATCTTTCATGAATCAAGAGGATACACAAACATATCTTCTGGAATACTATCAGTGAGAAATTGACCCTGATAAGACATTTTAAATTTTTTTATTATTTTTATTTTATGTGTGTGAGTGCATTGCCTGCACGTATGTAAGTGAACCTGTGTTGTGCATTGCTGCGGAGGTCAGAAGAAGGTGTCAGATCCCCTGGAACCAGAGTTACGGATGGTTTTCAGCTGCCATGTAGGTGCTGGGAATTGAACCATGGTCCTCTGCAAGAGCAGCCATTTCTCTTAACCACTGAGCCATCCCTCCCATCCCTAATAAGACATTTTTTGAGACAGGTCTTATATAGCCTGGTCTGGCCACTGACTCTGAGGGTGAGGATGAACTGCTCCTCCAGCTTTCACCTCTCCAGTGTTGGGAATACAGGCAGGCTTACCACACCTGGTTTTATGTGATGCTGAGGATCAAACCCAAGGCTCAGGCAGGCTACAACAAGCACTATAGCCCTAGCTCAACATTTATAAAACATTTTATCCAACAACAGTGGAATATGCTTTGTTGGTGGTGGTGGTATTTTTTTTTTTTTTTTTTTTTTTTTTTTTTTTGTAAGGGGCTTCCTTTTTCTCTCCCTC